CACCCGAGCAGGCTTTTATTTGGTTGGTTTACACAGGAATTCAGGTAAAGCTCATTAATCATTGCCAGGAAGTAAGGATCAAACAATAGATAACAAAACTCTGAGGGCCTATTTTGAGTCAGGGTCAGATAGCTAAAGAGCTGTAAAACTTTGAGGAACAAACTTACTTCTTCCTTGGACCCTTACCATTTCAAATTGAGAGCATTCTAAACAAAGCAGGTGTCACAGGATTTTACATATTCTTTCTTAGGCCTGATCACCTGGGGAACCCACCCTTTCCAGCACAGGGCTGCACTGCCCCCTGTCATTGTTTCAGGCTTAGGTGGAGCAAGGGAAGTAAGGCAGCCAAGAGATTAGGAGATTTTCTTGCAGACAATGAGGACTTAGGCTATGTCAAAGCCGAGGGGCAGTGGGGTCCATCATCCCCTTTTGCTGTAGTCCCCAAAGTCCTTCCTTGGGGGCCTCCCACGTGATCGTGCCTGTCTTAGGTCGTTCCCCCCTTGGGGAATCTTACCCGTCATTGGCTAACCAACCAAGCATTGGGGCCAGGCAGAGTGAAGTAAAAGGAGCAGAAGTGGCGCTTCTGCCAGGGAGGTAAGCTTTTATCTCCTTGGTGGCTTACAGTCCAAGGTCGTTCCCTCAGCCTTAGTCTTGGTGGGGGTTATAGCTTCTGATACCAAGCAGGGCGGTTCCCAACAGATTTCCAATTGCTTGTTCTTTCTCTTCTCATTCTGGTACCCCTGTGATGCAAAGGTTGGACATTTTGAAGTTGTCTCAGAGGCTGTTTATACTATCCTCATTTTTTAAATTATTTTTCCTTCTTGTTGCTCTGTGTGGTTGTTTTTTGCTTCCTTATGTTCCAAATCATTGATTTGATTCTTGGCTTCATCCAATCTACTGTTGCTTTCCTGTAAGTTGTTCTTTATTTCAATTAGTGTATCTTTCGTTTCTGACTAGGTCTTTTTTATGTTGCTGAAGTCCTCACTAAGTTCCGTGAGCATCGTTATAACTAGTGTTTTAAATTCTGCATCTGACAGATTGCTTATCTCCATTTCCTTTAGCTCTTTTTCTGGAGTTTTGATCTGTTCTTTCATGTGGGCCATGTTTCTTTGTCTCATTGTTTTGGCAGCCTCTTTGTGTTTGTTTCTATATATTAGGTACTTCTGCTTTGACTCCATGTCTTGGTAGTGTGGCCTAATGTAGTAGATGTCCTGTAGGGTCCAGTGGCACAGCCTCCCCTACCACCCAAGCTGGGTATTCAAGGTGTGCCCTTCACGTGGGCTGAGTATGCCCTCCTCTTGTAATTGAGCTTCGGCTTCCGTGGGCAGATCAGTGAGAGAGATTTACCTAGGCCAGTCAGCTGCAAGGACTGGCTTGACTATTGACCACCCACCTCTGCCCTCTGTGGAGGAGCAGCTGTGCAGGGGGACAGATGTGGTGTTCTGACAGGGTCTGTAGCTGTCCACTGGATGTGCTGGCCTTAGGGTTTCCCGTGTGGTACAGGCCAAGGTCAGCCCGCACCTATGTTTTGCCTGGGGCACCCTGCCGGATCTGTAAAGCAATTTGAGATGGCTGGTACTTGTGCTGGGCTTGGAGATTACCAGGTGAAGCCAAGCTGCCAGCTGTTGCTTGTTTGATAGTATTTAGGAGCTGAGACCGTGTATTCTTATGGAAAAGCAGCTTGGGTGGACCCATAAGTTGGGTGGGATAGAGCCTCTGGGGATCTCCAAGGTGGGTCAAATAGTGTTACCCAGGTTGATGGAGTCTCAGATATGGCACCAGTTAACCGGGTCTGTGGTAGAGGGAGCTTAGAAATGGGACAATGCCCTCTGCTTGCCTTGATGCCAGACACTTCAGTTTCTTCCTGTGAGGCAGGAGATAGTTAGGAAGGAGGAAACTCTGGAAGAGCCCTGGGGCTAAGATAAAGGACATTGATACAGGACAGAGACCCTGTTCTAGGACCTGTTGTTCCCACTTTCTGGAAAAGCGCTTAATCATGGTGAATCATGAATGCACTTGCGCAGAAGATACTACATGACCCTGCTTCATTATAATAGCAACATAATAAATTAACATTGTGGGACCTCCTTCCCCAGTGGCCAGTCAAGGAAAATCATGGGAGACCACATGCACAATAGCTTTAAAGTAATATAACTACCTGTACATGCGCAATAAAACCCTTCCAAAACTAGCCAGGAAATATCCTTCCTATAAGAATCAAATCCCTTTAGCCCCTGAGGTCAATCTCTGCTTGGAGTTGTCCCGCTCCCATTTTCTATGGAGTGTACTATTGCTTAATAGATCTGCTCTCTCTATTTCTGCTATAAACTCTCTGTGTTCAGTTCAATTTGTCTGCGATCACCAAGAATCTGGTTACCTGTGCCCACCTGTGACACTTATATACCACTGGTTTCTTTCAAGCTGGCACCCTGGTGCTGGAGCTCAGAGGGAGTGAGTCTGAGTAGGTGAGTCCATGTGTGGGTTCTTTAAGAGGAACTGCTTGGGGCTCCAATAATCTCTTCCACTAACTCAATCCCCACTGGTTTTTGCAGCCAGAAGTTGTGGGCCTTATCTTCCTGGCACTAGAACCATGGGCTGGGAAGACTGGTGTGGGGCTGGGAAGCCTGGTGTGAGGCTGGGACTCCTTGCTCCCGAGATATCCCTCCTGAATTCCTATCCACATGAGTATGGGACCAGCCCCTTCTGCATCTGCACCCCTCCTACCAGTCTGGATGGTTGTGGTTTTTTTAATTTCATAGTTGTCAGACTTCCATTCAGCTCAATTTCTGATGTTCCTGAGTAATGGTTGTTCTATATTTTAGTTATAATTTTGATGTGGTTGTGCAAAGAGGTGAGCCGTGTCTGCCTATGCCACTAACTTGACTGGGAGCCCTTCCTCATCTTCTCTTTCAGCTCACTCTTAGTTTAAATGGTTGGCCCAGAACTTCCTATGTGACCTCAGTCTGGTCCCTTCTATGGTGTGCCATTTTTGTCAGTTCTCCAGTATCTTTTATCTTCTTTTGGCTGCTTTCTTTAGTCAAGGCAAGAGTTCCCCATTGCACAGGGGCCTCCTCTTCCCCTGGCTATGTCGCAAGTCACTATACCTTTCTCCCTGGGCAGCAGTTCAGGGAACTGGGAAGGCACAGCTATTAACTTGCCATTGTTATGCACAGTATATTAAGCAGTATCATCCACTTCCTGCAATAAAGAGGTGTGGGGTTATCTCCTATTTTCAGGGGACCCTTTCTTTGAACCCCCTTACAGGGTCCCTGTAGGAGGGAAATATTTAGCTACCTAAGACTCTAGTTTTCAGAAGCTTTTATTTAGAGCAAGGACCCTGTAAACAGGCTAAATAACTCATACAGCTTAGATAGCCTGCAGCTTAATAGCAGAGAGGAAAGAAAGGAGAAAGAGTGGGAAAGAAACATCAGTGTGTGATTGCCTCTCACACACCTTGACTGGGGATTGAACCGGTGACCCTTTCATTCGCAGGCCAGCACTCAGTCCACTGGGCCACACCAGCCAGGGTGAAAAAGTGTGGTTCTATCAGTATTAAAATAGCCTGCTCCAGAAAGACCCAGGCCAAAGTCTGACCACGGGACAGAATTAGGCTGACAACTAGCACAAAGGATTTGATTCTAAAAGAATCAAGTCAATAGCTAACATGGTTCCAAGATACAGACTGATGCCCTAGGGCAGCGGTCCCCAACCCTTTTGGCACCAAGGAGTGGTTTCATGGAAGATGGGGGTAGGGGTGGTGGATTGGGGAGGTTAGGGAGTGGGAACATGAGGCAGAGCTCAGGTGAGCTTCATTCCCCATCCCCCCTACTGTGGATGGGGATGTTGAGGTGGAGACAGGAGGTGAAGCTCAGGGGAGATTTATTTGCAGCATGGTTCCTAACAGGCCCAGGCCCATTACCGGTTCTCCGCCTGGAGGTTGGGTACCCCTTCCCAAGGGAATCAGGCAAAAGTGTGGAAGAGAGTTCCCTAACAAACAAGTTCTTTTAATAGAAAAAGAAAAGAAACCTCTACACAGATTTTGAATAAAGTCCAGAGAGCTTTAAAACGTAAGAAGAGTGAAAGCTTGGACTCAAGAGAAAACTTACCCTCAAGCTCCTGAAAGGGGGAGAAAAACAGCTTGTTCAAATGGCTGGCTCTGTAGGTGCCATACTTGTTTGCTCATCAGCCCAGGACTATGGGACATCTTCTCTGGACCCCAGAGTTGACTGCAAACAAAAAGTCAGACAGTTATTCACTCGGCAAAAAAAGATTTACTCAGGAGTAAAGACAGAATTGCATTACAGATCTTGTTGCCACAGTGAATCACATGCAAGTTCACGGTAAACAATGGAAAGTCTTTTATAGAGGGTAAAGGGAAGTGAGTAGGGAAGGGTTGTTATAGCCTCAGAACTCTTCTTGTAGGTCTTTCTGCCGTGACTCAGGACTTGAGAGTTCCTCCTATGGGGCCTCCAGATTCTGTTCAGGTTAAAGACTCATTAATTTGGAAATTGGCTAGCTTAAAATCTCACAGGATTCATTTTCTTGTTTATTTTTCAATATTCATCTTGACCCTGACTGGTGTGGTTCAGTTGGTTGGGCTTCGTCCCACAAAGGGAAAGATAGGTACATGGCTGGTTTCTGGCCAGGGCACATACCTCTGTTGCAGCTGGGTCCAGGTCAGGTGCTTGGGAGAAGCAAATGATTCATGTTTCTCTACCTCTCTTTCCCCCTCCCCTTCCCTCCCTCTAAAAAATAGATAGCCCTGGCTGGTGTGGCTCAGTGGATTGAGTGCAGGCCTATGAACCAAAGGGTCGCTGGTTTGATTCCCAGCCAGGGTACACGCCTGGATTGCGGGCCAGGTCCCCAGTGGGTAGGCGGCACGAGATAGGCAACCCCACGCTGAGGTTTCCCATTCTTTCTCCCTCACTTCCCCTCTCTCTAAAAAATAAAAGTAATAATAATAAATAAATAAAATTATATTCGTTTTTGTTTTATTGCAGGTTAGCCTCTGTAGAACCTACAGGTCTTGGGCTTCAGAGTAGATTGGTGCTGCCCATTGGACAAGGCTTGAAGAATCCAGCCTTATTCTCCACAGAGGATTTCTACACCCACCGGCCCCTGAAACTACATTTCCCAGCAGGCCAGAGGCCAGAACTGACGCACTTCCTCCCGACGTTCCCCCGCAACAGGAAGTAGCCGAGTGGGCTCGAGGCTGACGCGACCATCCTTCGTCATCGCCGCTGCCGCTGCCGCTGCCTGGAGAGGACCCGTCGCGGCTGTACCTGCCGCCCCTGCCGGCCACCATGTCCGCCCAGGCGCAGATGCGGGCCCTGCTGGACCAGCTCATGGGCACGGCCCGGGACGGTGAGTCGGGGCAGCCGGCCAGGCGAGGGGCTCGGGCGGGAGTGAGGCGAGGCCGCCGGGCGGCCTGAGGCGGGGGCAGCGACCGTCTGCGCCTGCGCTCTCCCCCCACCCTCGCCCCACGCGCCGACGGCAGTCGCCGGGCCTTTGTCTGAGCGGGTTCGCCTGTTCGGCTGGCTTTTCTCCCACCCTTCGCGGATCTTCGGCGAGCTTCTTCCTCCGAGCCCTTTCCGTCGGTGGGGCTCTAGCTCCATTCCCATTTACGGTTCTGCCATGTCCAACCCGGTGCGTGCCGCAGCTTCTCCAACCGGGGAGTCGGCTAAGGGCTGGAGCTAACATGAGCTTCAAATCGCTGGCAGCCTGGGAGAAGCTACACCCGTGGGAGCCGATGGGCCTCGAACCCCAGCCGTTCTTGTTCTGTACCATTGCAAGGAGAGCCATAAATAGAGCTTTTCTTACGTGGGTTCCTGCCTAGTGCTTTTCCAAGCTCCCTTCCCAACCACACAGGTTTGCTTCTGTTTAGCTAGCGTTTGTCAGTCGTTAGGTAGGTTGCATTGTAGGGAGGAGTGGAAGATCAGATGGTTGTTTCAGGAAAAAGCGGTTGCATCTTTGCAAAACTACATACCTGCTTTGGTTTGTGTTTCCTACTGAAGTAATGAAGTTGTAAGTTCACACTGGCACATTCGCAGGGCTGTGCAAATTCTTTGCACTATAATTCATAGGTGATTAAGTGCTTTTTAGCTTTCTTTGTATATTGAGTTGCTTTTGAATTGCTTCCCATATTTTTATTTCATACAAACTGAACAATTGTGGCCCCTCTATTTTATTTATAAAGGTTCAGTGTATCTTTGCCTGCCTACATCAATCTGCAAGGGAGTTGCAGAAAAGCCTCATGTTCATCGAGCCGTGAGTCACAACCAATTTCTAAGCTGTTATAACAAAAAAGTGTTTGCTTTTTTTCACAAGTAACTTTAAAAGTGTAGTTTAGAAAGAAAACATTTTCAGAAAAAGACACTACATTAATCCTGGATGCTTGCAAATCCTGAGATATATTCTTCCTTTAGTATTACACAGCTCTGTGTCGTATACACAGATTAGCTTTAAAATTTGTCACATTCCACTTTGCCTTTACTTTTATGTATCATTCCCCTGACTTCCTTACTGCAGGTTGGGCAAGAAAACTTTTCCTTTAAAACTTTTCAACAGCGGGCATAAAATTCTGCAGCTGAGGTCTTGAAGAATGCAGATGGGTACAGTATATGTTGGAACTCACAGTGTGTATTGACTAACCTAGTTCTTTTTTTTCTTTTTCTTTCTTTCTTTCTTTTTTTTTTTTTTTACTCTTTTAGTATTGTCTTGTTAACAGTGACTCCCAGGTGCCAACTCTCTTTTTTAAGGGTGGGGGTGAAAGAGGGGTGAGAAGACTAGGTCTAGATTATTTATTAGTCAGCGGTAGAGTTTGAAAGCGTTCTTTGTATGTTTAGGCAAAATATTGCCTATCCACTAGTCCACAGCAAAACGATTAGATTAATAAGTAGTTTTTAGTTGGTGGAAACTACCAGTTATTGGTTATATGTGGTGATTCATGGCCCTCTGATTAGCATGGGTTTTGGTATCTCATGGCCCACATGTATGTGTGGGGCTAATGGCCTTTTGGTGCTCAGCCTTTTACTTTTGACTCCTTGACTTCTTTGGCACAATGACGGAGTCAGATCTCATTAAGTGATTCTTCATGATATATTTAGCATCAGAAAACATCTGTATTCCGCTCCAGTTGTAAATATCTCTAAATCAGCTTTTCAGTGTATTTGGTAGTCTGCACATCTCCAGGTGAATTGTACCAGATATACTTTTGTGTTTAACATGGTATTATCTTATTTAAAACCACAAATAAATTTCAGGAGATGAAACCAGACAGAGGGTGAAGTTTACAGATGACCGAGTCTGCAAGAGTCACCTTCTGGATTGCTGCCCCCACGACATCCTGGCTGGGACGGTAGGTGCATTGGGTGAAGGGGAGTCACAGAACTCGGGGTGCAATATAAGCAGTATAGGTTTTCCAAGTTGAATTCTGTTTTCCTTATCAGGTAGAAATCACCTTTATTGCCCTTTCAAATTATAGATTCTGTTAAGTGTAATATTGTATTGCAGAACATATTTTCTGTTATAAAGTTCTCTCTTTGAAGTTATCAGTTTTTTGTGAAGTCATTTATATGGAAGTATTTAGAGCTAAGTAGTACAAGTAGTCTCATTTGGCTCCAGCAAAAAGTGTATCTCAGGTTAGTGTATAGTTCTTTGAAGATCTGGGCTTGGTTGGTTTGTGTTCAGGCTAAACATAGGGCTAGACTTTTTATCTAACAAGACACATTTCTTCCCCAGATTGTTAGGTTTTCTAAAAACCAGTTGGGAATAATGTTGACTCTCTAGTTTTGTGCTATGTCATCCTTTCAAGAAAGTAACATATCCAGTGGATATAGACTCCTAAAATTTTTCAGTTGACTTCTTATAAACCAAACAGATAAGGGCTAGTTTTGTAGAATGTGCATTTATTCAAAATTAGATAGGATTTAAGAAGACTAAAGAGAGGAGGATTATCTACCATGATTCACCATTTACTGAAAAGGAGTCCTATAAAGATCAGCACCATTTTAAGACTTCACACCTACATTGTGGATATAAAAACTGTCTTCTCATTTTAAGGGTCAGGTGTGCATGTACTAGTGAACATCTTTGTGATTAATCATTGCTTTACTAATGCAATCATGGTGGGAGCAGCCACTGGAAAACTGCTCAGGTGTATTAGATCTTAAGCTAACTCTTCTGACGGCAAATGGGAAATGAATGCCAAACCTTGTGACTCTGTTACCTGAGGCTTGCCTACACTTTGACCTTGCTTAGGAAAGCATTATAATTTGAATTTGCTACATATTGTTTGTGTTACTCTTTGTAAACCAGAGGAAATCAAGCAGAATAGGCTAATTCAGAGCCAAATAAATCCATCAGTGGGGATGTCTGGTGTCCTTTAGTCATAAACATTTCAGCCATAGGATACTCCTATAGGAAGCTTCATAACCTAGAATTGTTGATAGATCTTAGTAGAAGTCAAGTCAGAGGGAGAAGAAGGACGTGCACCAGAGTGAAGTATTTCAACCATGTTTTTCTTAGGTCCCTGTATAGCATTGTTCCAGAATGCTGGTGAGTAAAATAACCTGAATGAATCCATTTCCTACAAATGTTTACCATGTTAGTTATAGATTACTTCACCAAACATTTATTGGATACCTACGGTATGCCAGGCACTGGTGCCAGTAAGACAAAGTCTTTACTCTCATCTATGTTTGAAGAGGACAGACAGTAAACAATAAACAGATAATGGACTACTTTAGATGTAATGATAAGGAAAGGCCTCTTAGGGACATTGGAGTAGAGACCTGAATGGTGAATAAGAACACATGGACCTGGTTTGGGCATATAATGCTCTGGGTAAGAGGATGGATCTGAAGGAATGCCACTGTTACATCTGGACTGGACCTTTCCTATCAGCAGTGTGAGAGCACTAGAGTGTGGAGAAAGTAGGCGTTGGTGCAGTAATAAAGTTCTGACATGCTGGACTATTCAGCCACTTGGAATATTTTGGAAGGATCTAATGAGCATGGTGTTTGAGCACTGCTTGCTGTTTAGCTCCCAGGGGAATTGGCCAATACTTCCCTGCCTCCTGGGCTAAGCTGAAGATACTTCCAGAGAGTAACCATGGAACCCAGGCTTATCCTCCACTTTCTTGAGCAGTGTCTGAGAGCTCTCACCCAAAGGGAGAAGCATGAATTTTGTTTCACTAGTGGTTACCTAATGTCAAAACTTACTTGACATTTGGCACTTTCTAGAGTGGAAATTGATTTGCACTTAAAATTTTTAGTACTTAAAATTTTAGTGCTTACATCCTCTTGTGGTAGTTTTTCTTGGAGCAACAGAGACTTCATTAGCTTTAAACATTTCTCATAACTTCCACTGAATTTTTAGCTCTAGTGTATAGTTTCATTTGTAGAAACTATATATTTTATTTAAAAAATTTTTTAAATTTATTTTTGGAGAGAGGGGAAGGGAGGGAGAAAGGGAGAGAAACATTGTTCTGTTGCCTCTTGCATACCCCCAGCTGGGACTTAAAAGAGTGAATGAAGCAAAAGTCAGCCTTATAGGGACTGTTACTCCAATTGCAACTTTGTCTTCTAGAACCATTATTGCACTACCTCTAGATCCCCTATATAACCAACATACCTGTATCTTGCTGTGAATAATGTGCTCCTGTGTATAATACACACCCATGTTTTTGGCCCAGACTTTCAGGAAAAAAATTTTCTGTCTTAATTCAATTATTTATTTATATTTAGATACTTTTTGTATTATAAAGGAACTTGAGCATTTATTTTGTAACATATTATGGTACAAGAAATGTCATGTAACAAATAATTACAAAACAAGAACAGATGCAAGGTATTTCTGATACTACCCATGTATAATGTGCATTCTTATTTTGCCCTCAAAAATTTGGGCAAAACTCATTATACACAGCAAAATATGGTACATAAGCTACCTATGACTAAAAAGTAAGAATAATGAAGGAGAAAAGGTTTTAGCATTTAAATGCAAGTCTATCTTTGGTAGAAATAAAGATAAACTCCACACTAGGCAGCTCACTGTAGTATTACTGTCAGTGGTGATACTGAAGGATAAATTTTTTTTAGTGAGCATGGTACACACCCTTCTGTTAGATAGGGTGCGAGAGTCAGGAACTGTGAGCTTCTCTGATTTGTTTAAAATGTTAAGGATTTTATAACCCAGAAAGGTTTTTACGTCATTTTGAACATAGTTTGAGCTTAAAGGAATTCTTAGACTCCATCATTTTTTGTTTAATAATTATGCAGACATGTGCTTTTGCTCAGCAGTTTGGACTTCAGAGGTGCCTTATTGTGATGTTAGGTTTTGTTAACTTGTACTCTGTCTTGAATATGATCCTCAGCATAAAAACTTCCAGTTGCTGTTTAGATGGTCGAGGCGGGGCGGGGGTGGGGGGGTGGCTGGCTGGCTGTATGGAGTCTTGTACTCAAGATTTAGATAAGAACTATGCAGTATTTTAATTTTTCTACATGTGCTTATAAGTAATAGCACATCAGGCTAATCTTACTATAACACAGATTATTTGTTTTAGTAATTAAAAGAGTTTTTTGTTTCTCAAATGGGGCAATTGAATGGCCCAGTTATTTGTCTGAGGTCATTTACCAGGTTAGAAGAATTTAGGAGGATTCATTTGGCCCTGAATCAGCCTATTCTGCTTTATTCCCTGTGTTATGGGAAGAGCTACACAAAAGCCAAGTGTCAGGTTCTGTTGTAATTGCCAAAAAGCTGATTTCTATCTGCTCTTTTCTTTTCTTGTCTCTGCAACTTGAGCATCTTGAGTAGTGAGATTGCAAGAAGGAATGCCTAGAAGCTTGTTGCTCTCCCGATGCTCTTGTTTTCCGGCCTTTTCTTTGCTTCCCCACCCCCACCCTGCCCACCCCCAAATCTGCTACTCACTGAATAGATATTTTTTCTGTGATTAATTCAAAAGTAATTTTGGCAAAGCTGATTATGGTAATGTGGTTTTCATTATTAGTTTAATTATCTTTGGGTCTAAAATAGATATAAACCTTTATACTCCTGAATGCATTAGTTCTGTGTACCATATAGTCATGGTGGTAAAAGAAAAATAAGGCTTCTTAGCCATATTCTGTTTCTTAATTTTCCTTTCATAGTTTAGTATTCAAAAAAGTGTTGTCTGTTTTGGTGACAGGTCATGTGCTTTCTAATGGGTACATATTCACATGTAAACTTTTGTTTGTTTCTCACAGCGCATGGATTTAGGAGAATGTACCAAAATCCACGACTTGGCCCTCCGAGCAGATTATGAGATTGCAAGTAAAGAAAGGGACCTGTTTTTTGAGTTGGATGTAAGTTTTATTTGATGTTAATTAGTCCTTACTATGAAGAGCCAAATACTGAACTAACAGGAATAATGCAACATGTGTAAGTTACAGAGCAAACAAAATAGATATTTGTTATTCCATCACTCTGGCCGAGGGCTAGAACACAGCCAATACCATTTTGTGTCTACCAGTTTGTCTCTCACCCCAACATGATTCTGTATTTTGTATATACCATTTCCTTTTAAAATTATTTTATTATGTGTTTTTATGATTCCTTGAATGTTACATTTATTTTTGTATTTGAGGCTTATAAAAATGGTTTCATAGTATAGATAGTTGTTAACTTTATTTTTTTGTTCAATACTATGTTCCTGTTTATCCGTTTTGTTGGATATCGTTTGTTTTCATTGTTGATTGAGTATTCCCCAAACTATACGTTCTTTATTCATAGACAATATGATTGATTCTGGTTTTCTTTTTTCTGTTTGAAGAATGTTATGAATATTCCTGAGTATCTTCTTGGTGCACGTGTACAAGGATTTATCTAGGATATATTCTGTTATCCAGGATATATTCCTAGGGGAGGAATTTGTAGCTATGAGGGATGTGCATGTTCATCCTTTCAAGTAGTTCTGTAATGTTCTTTTCTCTTTTCTCTCTATTATTTCAAAGTGGCTATAGCAGTTTACACCCCCAATAGCAATGTATATATCCCCACCCACACTTGGTATTTTCAGACTGTTAAATTTTGGCAATTTAGTGGTTATAAAATGACATTTTAACAACTTTGGTTTATTATTGTCTCCCAAAGGAGCCTTTCCACAGAGGGGAAGGGAGGGAGAAAGAGAGGGAGAGAAACATCAGTGTGTAATTACCTCTCACACGCCCCCCCCTCCTGGGGACCTGGCGGGCAACCCAGGCATGTACCCTGACTGGGAATTGAACTGGTGACCCTTTGGTTCGCAGGCAGGTGCTCAATCCACTGAGCCACACCAGCCAGGGCCCAAAGGAGCCTTTTTAAAACCATTTTTCCTAATTTGTCCTCCCCTCCATGATACGTTGGATGTCATGATATCCATGATACCAAAGATAAGCTGCATATAAGTTCATATACTATGACTTTTTTCATGCCACAAACCATTGTAATATATAACATACCCACTAAGACCAGTTTTTACTCCACCCCTGTTGAGAATGTCTGATGTAGAGTCACTCTTTTAATTTTTTCTTTTCCCTGATCCTCCAACACAAATATGACTTGAGATCAGTGGAGGGCTTTGATGCCATTCAGTTTCCTGCGTTGAAGGCTGGGAAGGGACTGATCTGGAGGTGAGGAAGGCAGAGAAAAATAAAACCCAAGGAAAGGCATTTTACCTCTAAAGGACATTTTAAAGGCTATATTGTTGCTAGAGTAAATTCTGTTTAAACCAGCAGCCTCAAAGAGTGATTGAATTAAGAATTCTACAGAATACATTCTTTCTTTTAAAAAAATTAATTTTTGTTAGAGAGGGAGAAAGGGAGAGAAACATTAATTGGTTGCTTCTTACATGCCACCAGCTGGGGCCTGGCCTGCAACCCAGACATGTGCTCTGACTGGAATTGAACCCCTCAACTTTTTGGGTCACAGGCCAGCACTCAGCTCACTGAGCCACACCAGCCAGGGTTGAAAGGTACTCTTTAACAGCAGTGTGCTCTCAGCATTGAATCTTTGAATTCACTAAAAATGCCTTTAGCAACAGCTCATTTGTTGGGGCTTGTCATCAGATGGGGCTTGGAAATGGTAATTTTGTATATTCAGAGTTTTAATTCTTCAGTAACCTGAAAATGATTATATAAAGAGGCCATTACCTTGTGATAGCGGTTTCAGAAAATCTGGTAGGTATACAGGTATATAGTTTGAAATTTCAGTTTTAGTTATATAGTTTTATGGATCACAAATCTTAGCATTTCTATTAAATCAGGTCAGTGCACTTTTTATTTATTTTTAAAGATTTTATTTATTTATTTTTAGAGAGAGGGGAAGGGAAGGAGAGAGGGAGAGAAACATCAGTATGAGAGGATCGATTGCCTCCTGTCCGTACCCCAGTCAGGACCAAACCTGCAACCCAGGCTGTTGGAATTGAGCTGGTGACCTTTCACTTTGCAGGATTTTGCCCTGCCAACTGAGCAACACTAGTCAGAGTGCTCAGTGCATTTTTCAAAAGCCTCAATTAATTTAATGCCAGAGAATAGATGAATAGAAGAATTGAGACTACGGAAAGAGACTGAAGCAAAGATAGTAATTTAGTTTATTTTGAAGGGTGTGTTTTCAGTCAGAACAGAGAAAGTGGGTTGGTTTTCAATGAACAGTGTTGGAAACTACGGATTAGCCAGTTGGAAAAATACCAAGTTGGATCCCCAAAATAAATTTGTTTTTGTCGTCTTCACATATGATAAAGCCTAGAAGTTGTAGGAGAAAGATGGATGTATTTGTTGTATGCTAATAAGATATTAGCATATGAAAAATATCCATGCATAAAATAAACTGGGGCAAAATATTTTCAGTATATATGATGATGGGCTAGTTTCTTTTACACAGTAAGACCTCATTTAACATTGTCAGTGGCTTCTGCAACTTCAAGTGAAAAGATGTATGAAGAAACCAGTTTGTCCATAGCTGCTAATAGATATAAACAAGAGTAAAATTTTTAGAGCATCTTGTGGATGTTGAACGAAACAGTGTTATTTGAGGACCTGCTATGTATGAAATTCATTGTGATTGACAAGAACAGTAGCAGTAGCTCAATAGAAAATGGGGAAAGGACATTTCTTAGCAGGCATTTAGTCCTATGGCAGGTGCTTACCTTCACTCAAAATTAAAGAGATGGAGATTTAAGTAACCCCGAATAGAACTCCTAGAAAATTGAGCATCTATGGATGTGATAGCTCATTTCAGCAGTACCAGTGATGAAAGTGTATCTGACTTGCATATGTACAAAGATAAGTTTGCTCCAGAATATTCTTACGGTGTTACAGTTATGGAGAGTAGGAACCAAGAAGACTCTCAGTGAGGGACTGGCTAGATTATAGCTCTTTGTGATGGAATGATGTATAGCTATGAAAAGAGAATTGAGATAGTTCAGTGTATGTTGATGTGAAATTACCTCTAAGATAGATTAAGTAGAAGAGCAAGATGTAGTATGATGTTTCCATAGTGTATTTTTCAAAAAGGGAGAATGTTATATACTCATTGACAGGCTTAGATGTGTCAAGTATGTTTAGAGGAACCCAAGAGATTATGAACACTTGTCTTAATTGGAGGGCTACAGCAGGTCAAAAGACCTTTTTGTGCAGTGTGAAAATTTAACATAGATGGAAATTATTTTTTTGTTTAAAAAGGTAACCATGCCTTCCTCTATCTCCTTAAAAATAATTTAGACATTATAGAAAGCTTATATTAAAATGTTTAAGCCCTGGCTGGTGTGGCTCAGTGGGTTGAGTGCTAACCTGAGAACCAAAGGGTTGCTGGTTTGGTTCCCAGTCAGGGCACAGGCCTGGGTTGTGGGCCAGGTCCCCAGTAGGGGGCATGTGAGAGGCAACCACACATTGATGTTTCTCTCCCTTTCTCCCTTCCCCTCTCTAAAAATAAATAAATAAAATCTTTTAAAAAAAATTTATAAAATGTTTGATAACCAGTGCTGTGAACACATGGAAGAGGTCCTCCTGCCCTAAAGTGTGAAGGGTAATCTGGAGCAGCTGTGTTTGTATCAGGGTAGTCTGTCGGGAGATGTCAGCATGTCCAGTGTACATGTATTGTATGCTCCTCCCAGAACTCCATAACTGGGAAAGTATCTTAGGGGTTTGTGCAAATGAATACACAGAAAATATGCTTGTTGCAACTTTTTTCCTACTGGGAAGAAAAGAAGTTATTGTATAGTAAAACTATTTATTTTAATGGGAAACTGATTACACAAGTTGCAGTCCTGTCATACTGACATTTCATAAAGCTCTAAGCAGTTATCTCTGGATGTTAGGGAGATTTTACCGTAAAAGGTTTTTTAGCGTAATGGCTCTAGATATAGTTCCCATGCCATAGAATTTACCCTACTTTAAAAAATTTAAATAGCCCTGGCTGGCATAGCTCAGTGGATTGAGCGCGGGCTGTGAACCAAAGTGTCGCAGGTTCGATTCCCAGCCAGGGTACATGCTTGGGTTGCAGGCCATAACCCCTAGCAACTGCACATTGATGTTTCTCTCTATCTTCCTCTCTTCCCTCTCTAAAAATAAATACATTATTTTTTTAAAATTTTAAATGTATACATAAATGTGTTTGGATGTGCCTGAGTTAGTTTAATACTAAAAATGGCTTGACTTTAAAATACCAAGCTATATTAACCTTTATTTTCTTAGTTTTGCTGATGAACTTAGAAATAAAAATGAAGTTTTTTTCTCAAAATATATATTTGTTAAATTAAGTTGATAAAAATGACTGTTGGTAGATAATACACATTTTCTGTTGCAAAATCCAGAACTCTAGAAGGGTCCGAGACTTTTTACAAGAAAAATCTTTCCATGTGACTAGCTGTCCAGTACTTATCTATTGAGGTCACTTGAATTTTTCCAAGAATGTTGTCCATTCAGAATAAACAAATATATTTATAAGAAAGGCTAGTTGTGATTTTTAAATTAAAATTACATATTTTTATAAAGATTTTATTTAGTTTTAGAGAGAGGGAAAGGGAGGGAGAAAGAGAGGGAGAGAAACATCAACGTGTCCGTTGCCTCTCACGTGCCCCCAACTGGGGACTCGGCCTGAAACCCAGTCATGTGCCCTGAACTAGCACATGGGAGTTGAACTGGCGACCCTTTGGTTTGCAGGCTGGCACTTAATCCACTGAGCCACACCAGCCAGGGCTAAAATTGCAAACCCATAGGAGTTTTTTGGCCAGATGTAGTCAGTGCGCCCACTCTTGCTACCTCTGACCTGCTGCTGCCTCCTGATAGACTACCTGTTGGCACTCTGCTCCTAGCTTGCCATGTAAGCC